CAAACCAACCATAAAAAATATGGTTAGGATTTTTTAAAACCCAAACCTAGCTTTATTAAAGCCGGAAACCAACCAATCGGGTTATTAATAAAATAACAAGTTATACGGGCAAATAACGTTTAAAAACGACAAAACGGGAAGCAAAAACGAAAAAAGCAATAACAATTTCCAACGTTACGCCCGCTAAACCCGGGTTTTCCAAAAACTATATCCGCATTGCTTACCGCAAAAAATACCAACAAAAGTACAACGCTAAACGCAACCAAAGTATTAATTTGCAAAACTTTTGGGTTTAAACTAAAAAATAGCTATAAAAACTTGCAAAAAGGCCGCAATTCCTGAAAAAGGGATGCAAATAAAACGTTAATTAAAAAACGTTTTGGTAAAGCGAAATTACTTTAAAAAAAAAAAAAAAGGTTTACATTTAGCACGCTTTTTAGCTATTATTAACCAATTTAAAAAAAAATGGGTTGGAACCGGGCTTAAATTTAACAATGTTTTAAAACATTAACTTGCTAAATAAAAACGGTACCTTTTACAAAACCATACCCGCCAAAAACGATTTTAGGCGTTTTATTAATTAATTTAACGGCAATTACCCGGTTACGTACCGAAAGTACATTCGGTTACAAACGTACAATTAAAAATAGGCCGAAAAGTTGCAAAATAATACAAAAAAAAACCACAACAATTTTATGCCCAGCCATTAAAAGCATTTGTAATTATTTTAAAAAAAATGTTTCGTTACAAATTGTACGGTGCATTTAATTTAAAAGCTCCAAACCAACTTTTTTTTTATTAATAAAAAAATAAGCTTATTACCAAGCCAAAATTGGCTTAGCAATTATTTAAATAAACCATTACCAAAAAGTACGGAAAATTTGCAATATTTAAATCCAATCCTTAATAACCCATGCTTTGCATTGCTAAAATTTTAAAATAGCAAAAGTGCAAAAAAATAAAATGCTAAATGCATATTATGCAAAAAGCAAAAGCATAATAAACGGAATATAAATTTCCGTACATATTAATACGGTACGACAAAAATTTAAAAAGCTTGTACAAACCATCCAGCAACCCCAATAATTTAAATTACGTAAAAATACGCAAATATTAAAAAGCTAAACCGTTTAAGCTTTAAAAAAAGCATTTCGAAACAAAAAATTAAAAAATCCATTTGTTACAAAGTTACAAAAAAAAATAGCAATTTTGTAAGGAGGATTTGGGGGTAAAATCCTTTGTTTGCGGAGTTCCAAACGGCGTAAAATTAAGCTTTAATAATTATTGAAAAGTAAATTAAATTAAAGCATTGTATTTAAATTTAAAAGGAAGGAATTTTGCTAAAAAAAAAAAAGGACGGATCCGACTTTTTTATATAAAAGATGAAAAAGCTTTGGTAGCTTTGTGCATAAATTGTAAATTTGTGCATGGGGATCCCATGGATCCCGTGCATGCGCCCACTTGGTAAGTTCCAACAAATTTGCAACAAAGATTTTAACAATAACAATTAGCCCAAATAAATAATACTTCCACATACGGGTACGATAAAAGCTTTATCGCTTAAAAACTTTAATTAATTGCAATGCTTAAAGCAATTACGTATCGTTACAAGCAATATTGCAATTTGGTATTTTTATATGTAAAAAAATAAGCCATACCTTTTTAAAACCATAAAAAAAAGCCCGTCGAATTTAATAACGAATAAATCGATATTAAAACCAATTATTTTAATTTCCGATACCGGAATTTTTTTTTAAATAACGCTAAATGCATTAAAAATACAAAACGAAAATATAATTTTTAAAATTCCGTAATTACAAAAGCACGATTTAAAAATTAATTAAAGGAAAAACGATTTTTAATAAACGCTTTTACAAGCAATTAAAAAAGCTTAATAATTACGGGCCGCAAGCAATGTAAAAATAAAGCCAAAAAAGGTATTTTAACGGAAATAAAGCAAAGCAGCAACCTTTAAACTTTATTATTAAAAACCATAACGATGCTTTACGATAAATTTAAACAAAAGCTATAACAATTAGCCAATGTATTTCCAAAATATTATAAATATTGGAGGTTATTCCAAAAAAAACCTAAAAACGGTGCTTCCAAAATACGGGCCGTTTAATTATAAAATTAAATTAAAGCCAAACGCACAATTTAAATACTAAAAGCTATACCAATTTAACTTTAAGCAATAAAAAAGGTTAAAAAAGCAATTATAGGAAATTTTGAAAAAAAAGGGTAATTAAACCTTTTACATTTCTGTTACAGTCAGGCCTCTGCTCCTAAGGTAAAACACCAAAGGAATGTCGAACAGTAGCACGTAACTTGACAAACTAAAGGGATTCACAAGGTAACTTGGGTGCGGTTTGAATGCTTGCTCCAAAGGTTACCTGGAAGCTAACTAAAGTTTGACTAATGCCGAAGCCTCAATCAAGAACTACCTAGGACAGTAGGAAACCCTTTCTTTCTTATACCTCAATGCCTACTCCCTTGGGGTCGTGGATTAGTTGGCTTACCAGGCCGACTCCGTGAGCCTTCCTGAGCCTCCTTTGGATCAGTGGCTCACCTCTCCCGCTTCCCTAATCCACTGATCCCAGGCGGTCACGTGACCCCTTACCCCTCATGGGGGTTTCCGTGCCGTGCCACCCCTCCTTCCTGGGTGAGGGTGGTTGTTGGTCGTAACACGGAAAATGGAAAAGCAAACGCTTTAAGCAAAAAAAGCAATTATAAAATCGTTACCCCAAAAAAACCAAAACGCTTTTGGCTTACGAACCAAAAAAAGCGTTGGTTCCAACCCAACAAGCAATAGCTTTAACAACCAAAAAACAGGATTAAACCCCGGAATAAATATTGGAAATTTATAAATTGCTAACTTATAGCCAGGGTTGGGAATTAAGTTACAATTAAGTTATTAAGTCATTTTTTAAGTCAAACTTTGCAATAAAATTTAAAATCAACAAAAATAAGTAGAACGTTTATTTCTTCGTATTTATATAAACAAATAGCAAAAGAAAATATATTATAAGTTTATATTACCTAAAAATGGTATATAAGCGGGTAAAAATGCATTAAGTTACAATTAGTTAAAAAAAAGTTAAAAATGACTTAATGCAAATTACGTGATATATAATTACGTAATTAAATATTTTAAATATTATTTTTATAAAACTGAGTTTTCTGTATTTAATGGTGGTATTTTTATACTTATAACTATAATAGTTAATTTAATATTAAGCTTTAAACTGTGACTTTTACTGACTTAACGAATGACTTAATTCCCAACCCTGCTTATAGCCATCCAAAAGCTATTAAA